AACAAGAACAACGACAACGACAAGGGCAATGACAATGACAATTTTTTAGTATGCTTATCAGGTACATATGTTTTTTTAAGATGATCAGGGTAATTGCATACGTTCATTTATATGTTTTAAAGGTTCAACCATCTGGTTCCCTTACTCTGGAAACTCTTGGTGATGTAGTATTTTGTTCAAATTTAAGACCATCCTTTTAAGAAAAATCCCAAGTTCTTTGAAAATAAAATTTTAGAATTAATATTAATGATGAATGTTTGTTACCGATTTTGTCATCTCCCATTTATTTTCAAGTTTGATAAATAAAAGACTTTATTCTTGGAGGCAAACATTATTTTTTCACTATATCATCTAATAAAAGTTTTTGTAAAATCCAAAATACATATCAATAAAAAAAATAACGGCAGAAGAATTTTAAACATGAAATTAAATATATAAACTTTATGATTATGCATTAATAAAACCATGTCATTAAACACTTTAAATTGATTCATGAATGCTATTATTTTGGTTTATGATGTTATTTAACTAAAAATTAAATTATTAAGATATGAAATTTCTATAATAAACTGATCAGCGTACCATAAAGTGTGTGCTTACAGATTCGTCGAAGCTTTCCAGATACAAGAAGGAGGCAGCAAGCAGAACAACTTCGTAAAATAAATTAATTGACGAGCTTTGACATAAAAGCTTGAGAGTGTAGCTAAAAAGTTAACTGGAACTTGGCCATAAAACGTAAAATAATCGAGTTGACCAAAAAGCTACTTTCGAATATGCAATTCACATCAAAATACTATTGGGTTAGCCTTTAAACAATCTTTAACCAGACTAAAAAACCGGTCTTTAGGACCGAGACCGGATCAATACAACCCTAATTTACTTTGAGTTTAAACACAAGAAATGTCACAACGTGGCTACTATAGAGGAATCACAATTATACATGTCAACCTTCCAACAGGGGCGTCTGGATGGTTTGGCGGTTATGTGTAACCCAATTTTAATTAGTAGATTACTAGTAAGAGGTTTAACCTTAAGATCAACGTCTCAAATGGTAAGGTTAACACCCTCGTTGTAGATCCTTGGATTGGGTTGATTTTTATTGCTGACTTTCTTAAACATTAGAAATAATTCTATTACAAACCTTCTTGAGCAAATTGATTTTTTCTTTTATGTTGAATACAACAATGTGCCATTTATATTCAGATAAACATTTTTGTTTGTGAGCATTGATTTTTATTTTTTATTCAATTGATTTTCATTTCATTTTCGTAATTCAGTTCAGTAAGTTCAGCATCAAAAATAATATCATTAGAAGTTTCTTCTAGATTTAATAAATCATTTATTTATAAACTGTAAATATCAAAATAATAATTTTTTATTTTATACAAAGAAGGCATTGGAAGTATTGACATTTATAAAATATACCTTGAGCTACCTCTACCAAAAGAAAAATCTATTGCTTCCGGAAATTTTCTAATAAACTTCAATTGGAATTTTGCACCCTGATAATATTACCCAAAAATGAGGATTGTATTCGATTTACTCATTTTATCACCTTACAAAAGTTCTAACCCTTCAAACCATCCATATTAATTTACCCAAAATTTTCTCCAAC